CCACCACCTTTAGCCTTCACTTTGTTGGTTATATACGTTTGAAATTTCTCGAGAGAGTTAGTAAAATCAAAAATTTGGAAACGATCCCTACCATCAAAGTGATCACGATAACCACAGAAACCAACCCAGAATTCGATATTTGAATTATTGCTGTTTATGTAACTAGCCACTTTTAATATATGCTCTTTCGCTGCTTCGATATAAGGAGACATAGAACTTGTACAATCCAGAACGAAGCAAAGATCAAAGTTCATTGAATCTTCAATATTAATTATTGCCTTGGACACATCATTTTCTTTATTTTTTCGCAAATATGAAATTTTGTCTTTTAATGTTGCTGTATAATTAATTTGGCCTGCTTCATCTTCGTAACGCCTAAGACGTTCTTCTAAGAGCTCCATATTGTTTGCGCTGCAATCGTTTTTTATAAACACCAATGTTTCAAAACAATTTTAGTATAATTCTTTTGTGTAAATTAGAAGAGTTCTATTTTTATTGTCCGGAATCTAGAGGGCCTACAGCGGGTAAATAAATAGATACTATTGGACCTGCCTGCATAATTGTGCTACGACTAGGATCGGGACTAGGGATGGGCAAATCGATTTTTTGAATTTACTGCGCAGGCTGCGTAGGCTGCGAGAATTCTAGGGTGCTTGATTACGTATATATATATAAAACATCTACTTCGTATGTATAAAGTTAGGCTCCCATTATCAGTTTTCGAGTTTTGCATTTTTTTTTCACTAGCTCCTTCACATAAATTTTGACTATTTTTTAAAACTTTTAACGAAGTTTTCTCAACAACCACCTGATAAATTTCGATAAAAAAATTTTTTATTCGGATTCTACTATTTTGTAGAATTCTGATAAAAAAAGTTTCATGGAAATTTATCAGGTTATTATCAAGGAAACCTTAGTTCAAAGTTTAAAAAATTTAAGCGAACCTTTTTCAAACCTTTAAGCGAAGCTTTCTCGACAACCACCTGATAAATTTTCATGAAACTTTTTTATTTGAATCAAACAATTTTTCCTTGAAAGTGATTAAGTGATTGCCGTGAAAGCTTTGTTCAAAGTTTTAAAAAATTAAATGTGGTCAAATGAACTGCAAGTTGGACCAGAATTATGAACTAATCAGGTGATACAAATCCTCCGTGTTTTCGGGCTAATCCGGAATGATTTTCCGGTTGGTTAA